TACAGTCCGGTCTGCGCATTAGCACATAGGAGTCTCCTGCGTGATATACACACTTTAATTAGATTTTTATTTCATTTTATGCTCTTGCAAAGCCGGATTGTTGTATCTTGATAATTTATTATACTGTAGAAGCATGAAGATATAAATAGTTGTCGAATAAAGTTCAACATTTTGAATATCGAAATGTAAACAAATGCTTTGTTTACATACGGCTTGTACCCTACCTTTAAAGAACGCGTAATGGTATATTATGGGGATGATGTGTGGGATCCGGATAATGGGATCCGGTAAAAATAGACATCCGGAAGTATCCCGTGTCTGGCAAAATTAGGCGGGATATTCACCGTATAATACCGGAACTTGTATCAGAACCATGAAACCGAAAAAATGTTTCCTTTGTCTTTTTTGTGTTAAAAAATTGTGAAACGGGAACAGTCGCTTAATTAAACAATGGACTATATTATGGAACAATAGTGAAGTATTGATCAAGTACCAGCATTAGTATTCGGTATCCTGTTATTATTTTCCCAGTGCCATCCAGTATCCAGCAATACAGTATCTGTCACATCCGGATCCTTAAAGGTTAGACCTCTCAACTATTATACATTGTTTTTGATAGACAAAATAGTACAAAATTAATATAATAGACAAAGCTAGTAAAAATTCTGGTATTTTAACGGTAACAATAAGTAACATTTTGGTATTTTAGCGGTAAATCTTTGAAACGTGTTCTGAAACGATAAACAGTATATTTTTTCCTCACTATTCACGCTAAATTTTTAGTGTTTTCACGACTGACGGTAACCGGAATTGAGTGAATCATGACTCACGATATACCCCATCAACATCCTCTTAAAAGGCAGAGCCATGTAATTTGTACACCTAGTACAGATGTCACAGATGTGTTGAGTTAGCTCAGTGAGCAGAATAGTACACAAGCAGTTGCGCTATAGTTAATAGAAACTCAACGTGTATTCATATATTTGGTCCTATACCTAGTAACCAATAGCAATTTTTTAAGAAAGTTACTTATCCGTGACTTGAACAATAGGGTAAATTGGAAATTGCTATTCAGTATTGGTGGATTTTGCAAAAATACAATACACACGTGACGGTGTAGGATCATATTTATGAATAAACGATGACTAACATAGATAACGTTTGTACGGTTATTCTAACGAGAGTTTCCAAACCATCTATTTTATTACATGTAACTATCGTTGCGCGCATGCTCACTTGCTAGACGATGATCTCAATCAGCCTCGTCACAGGCGCTTTGATGTGCTAAGCGATTGCGTGACGCACGCGCGGGAATCGAGGTGTGTAGCTCACTACGGGACGCTTCCTTCCAAATTTTCCCACGCGTTTCCTCGTGCGCGCGCCACAGACGACATCAAAGCCCTCAAAGCGCAGGGTATGAGGCTGGATCTCAATTGTTTTCAATCTCGTTCCCCGAGCCTGCGATCCTCGGGAAGGAACGTGAGGCTCTGGGATAATTAGCCTGTGTTCCAGTCCACTACACTGTTTTGTGGGCAACGGTGTAGTGGATTGGTACACATGCTATGGGATAATCCGTTTCAGGGAGGAATCTGCTTGGTCGTTGATTTGGAATGCGCAGTCTGTGGCGCAGTTCAATCTTAGCCAGGATTCCTGGCTTCCGGCAACGGATTATACCAGAGCGGCCCAGTGTGACCAGATTTGGTAAAAAGTTTTACTTTTTGGTAAAATTTCGTGAATTTTCAAGAAAATTTGGTAATAGGTTTTTTTTGGTAAAATTTTGGTGCAATCTGAAAGGTTTTAATAATATTATTTTAATAATCATTTTGGTAAAAATGTGTGTTTCTTGACTAATAACTACGTGCTCAAAGTAATGAACAGAATTGCCAAGCCTAAGAAATAAAGCTTTATCACTACTTAGCAAAAACTGCAATACGATGAAAGCAAAAAGGATTTCGAGATACTTTTTGTGCATATTTTTTCTACTTTGATGACGCAACTATTGTTTTTTGCAATTGCATTATTATGACGTAATTATTTGGGAAGCCGACATTTGGTAAAATATGTGTAATGACTGCTGAAAAAACTTCCCGAGGATCGCAGGCTCGGGGAACGAGATTATATTGTTTTGAGATAGTCAGTGCTTCCATTTTCAAGGAAATTTCCTTTTCTAAGGAAATTTTACTGTCGAAAAAGAAAATCTAAGGAAGAGAAAAAATCTAAGGAAATCTAAGGATTTTTTCCGAAAAACTTAAATATTCACCCAAGTCACCCAAGCGCATTAGTGCAGAAGAAGGTTTCCATTTTTTTTTAAATTTTTGAGTGAATTATCAATTATCTTTAATTAAAAATCTGTTTTTAACTTTTTCCTCGTGTTTCCGGTCGGAAATTCCGAAAATTTCCAAAAGTTTTTAAGCGATA